AGACCTCAGTAAATCTCAGTAAATCCTTCATGACTGAATGACCACAATGTCACATCTGTTCATTCACCAGTTCATCTTAACAGTCATGTGACCCCCTTTAAAAAAAATAAAATGGGGAAGCTTGCGGCTGTTTGGTGAGCTGCTCATGTCACAGTCAGTAACACAGGACTCAGAATTCCAGATGCTTTCCCCTTCTCCTCTTCTCCTGGGGACCTGCTCCTAGGCCCTTCCCTCCTCTCTCACACCTTCAGGATGGGACACAGTTGGATGTGCCCCACGGGACCCCACCTGCCCCTGGGGCCTGCCTGCCTTTGCCCGGAATTCAGCATCTCTAGGTTCATGTCTTCCGGGTACCTCCCCCAATAAGAGGTAAACCTCAAGATAGGAAGGTCCGCCATGAGACGCCCCCACGGGGTAATATGGGAAGAGAAGGCCTGGAGACAGACACCTAGAGTGGTACTATCCAGGCAACCCTGGGGTAGGGTTCTCTGCACTATACAAATAGCTCTGACCCGGGTGCCCACAAAGATGCTGGGGCCACAGTGGCCCTGTGGCCCCAACCACCTAGCTGGGATCGCAGAGCTGGAGCGGGGCCACACTGATCACTCTGAGCAGCACGAATATGGGCGGCTCCCCTCACTCGGTCCCTCGCAGACAGGCACCAAGCTCTGCCCAACTGGCCTCTCTCTAAGGGCCCGGCCCTCCTCCTGCTCTTCACCTGATGAGCTTCCAGAGGGGAGGCCGTGATCCAGGTCTAAGGCATCCCTGGACACAGTGATTGGTCCACCGTGGACACTTGACCTAAGTGCATCCAATCAGAGTACATCTTCGCATTTCCCTCGGGAATGCTACAACCAAGACTCTCTTCATCACCCTATTTCAGTGCGTAGCCCCCGGAGCACCCAGCACCCACCCTGGGGCCAAAAGGAAAATCCTCCAGGATACAACCCCAAGAAAACAGAATAAAAAGTTCAGACTGAGAAACTGGGTCCTGATCATGTGTTTGTGTACAGATCAGGCCTTGCCTGGGTCTCCCCCTGCAAAGTATAGTTGTAAGGGCCTAAATATCCCACTCTGCTGAAGTAAGTTTAGGTTCTATTACTTACAACCAAGAGAATTCTAAAGGATACATGGCAGAGCTGTCCGAATACACAGCTGGGATGATTGTTTGGCCCCCCTGCTGCTCAGGCTCAAAGTCGAGGACAAAGGGTATGGTCTTACCCAGAAGGGTCTGCCCTGCCCCTCCTGAGGCCCCAGGCCCCCTCGGCTGAGAATTTGCCCCAAGCCCTCTGCCCTGCACACCCTCCTCACACACACAGATGACACACAGCACTGGATGGACTTTTATTTTAAAGTCAAAGGCACAGCCTGGATGGGCTGAGGCAGTGACTGTGGATGCCCAGCCCAGACCCTCAAGGCCCTGCCCCCAGCCAGAGGCAGCTGTGCCAAGGGGGGTTGGGAGGGGGGGAGAAGGGGCCTCCCCTTATAGGGGTCGCCTACTTCCTTCCTTTGCCCCAAACAGGGGAGAAGCAGGTGACATAAAGTGAGGCAGAAATGCTTCAGAGGCCTCTCCTTGAACCCGCCCCCCCCCAGCACAGGTCTTTGGTGGACGTAATTGCACAGACAGTCCATAAAGTGACAGCTAGAGGGGCGCTCCCTCCCAAGAGCAGGGCCTCAGGGGAGGGCAGGGGAGAGGTCCCAGTTTCTCCCCGTGGCAACTCAGTGCGGAGAATGGAGAAACGGGGGAGGAGCCCTTCGGGTGGAGCAGCCCCCTGGGGGAGAAGTGCCTTCTGCCAGATGAGGCACGGTCTTGGCAGAGGCCCCTCCCTCCCTGCATCTCTAACTCTATCTGGTAAGACATAAAAAATTCTCTGCTTATAAAAATACTTCTGCTCTGTCTGGGAGTGGGGTGGGGGGGAAGGGGAGGGAAGGGCAATCCCTGGGGATGGGGCGGGGCCGATACCGAGGCTCCCAGGTCACAGCCCCTATGGGGGGAAGGAGGGGTCGCTGTGGAGGGGGCTAGGAGGGCGGCATGGGGCCGTTGGCTCGTCTGGGGGCTCCCTTGGCGGCGGGGGCCCTGCCCGGGGCGGCGGGCTCGGGGGAGACGCGGCGGGAGGTGGCGGCGCTCCGCAGCTTCTGTTTCCGCCGCTTGGCCAGCGGCGCGTTCTCCACGCTCTTCAGGAAGAAGCCCTCGCGCTTGCCCCGGTTGAAGGCC